GGGCTGGTGCCCAGGGGAGGGGAGGGGCCCCCCGGGACCCTGCAGGGGAGGGCTGGAGGGGCACGGGGGGTGGGAAGGGAGCGGAGATGCCCCCTGCCCACCATGTCCTGCCTGCTCACCGTCCGGTCCACGCAGGCGACGGAGCGCCCAGCAAAGCGGCTGGCCACGTCCCGGTTCACCTCGTCGCTCAGGAGGTCCTCCCAGCGCCCATTGCGACTTGAAGAGCAGGGGAGGGCTGGAGGGGCACGGGGGGTGGGAAGGGAGCGGAGATGCCCCCTGCCCACCATGTCCTGCCTGCTCACCGTCCGGTCCACGCAGGCGACGGAGCGGGCAGCAAAGCGGCTGGCCACGTCCCGGTTCACCTCGTCGCTCAGGAGGTCCTCCCAGCGCCCATTGCGGAACTTGAAGAGTTTGTCCGTGTAGGTGGCCATGCCTGGGGGTAGCACTGGTCAGGGGGCTGCAGCATCCTGCCTCCTCCCAAGGAGGGTGCCCTGAGGCAAGGGGAGGCTGGGGAAGGGGCATCCCAAACCCCTGCTTTGTCCCCTGCAGCCCTGCGAGACCAGGCTGCCCCCGCAAGAACCCCCATGACCCTTAAGGGCCACCAGGAGACACACAGAAGAATCAAGTCATTAAGGTAAAATGTGTCCCGATGGGGCACGGCTCCGTAGATCATCCCTGGGAAGGTAAAAAATCGATTCGGTGCCAGGCACAGGCAGCGAGCCGCGCTGCCCGTGACAGCACTGATGGCAGTGCCTGATTTAGGGACAGGTGCGCCAGTGGCCACTGCCAGCCCGTGTAATTAGGAGCGTCAGGAAGACAGATCCGCTGCCTAGAGGTCAGGACTGTGGGACAGGGACATGGGGCAGAGCTGAGCTGGAGCACTGACCCAGGGAGCTCTGGGGGTGCCCAGTGCTGGGCTGGGGCACACGGGTCTCCTCCCCATGACAGACATCTCAGGAGCTGGGACAGCACCAGCAGGGCAGGATTAGACCTGGCTTGGTCCAGCGGGCACAGGAACACCATGGCATGGAGGGGCACGGCTGCTGAAAGGCACGGCTCAGATTTGCAGTGCAGGGTCCCTGTGGCAGGGCAGTCCCACGGGTGGTGGGGAAGCTGCCGTCCTGCTCGGGGTGCCACCAGGAGGGCGGTGGGCAGCTGGAAGTGCTGACTTGGCGGCTGGCTGG